AATTAAACAAGCAGGATGGCCACAAAACTCAGTTGCATAGTTGTGGAGAAACTGCATCAAAAAATTAGGTTATTTGTAAAAAATGTAATAAAAAGATCATAATTCACATACATACAGTCGAAGACTTAGAAAAAAAAAAATAGTATGTATATTATTTGATATTAAATAGTTTCTATAACAGGTAATTAGGCTTGCATAGTAACATTCAAAATTGCGCTAATAATACAATTTATTTATTATTTTTCCTGTGTATTACTTCAATTCTTTTTATCTTCCATAATTATAATTATACTATCATCATCATGTTAATCTTACTTTAGTAGTATTAGGCATTATTATATATTCTTGCTTAATTTATGCAAAAGCATTTATGTTCAAAATAGAGCGTATACGTGATTCCATTAATTTGCAATCATTGTGCCTGATCAAATACATAACAATCTGTAAAATTAGAATGTATATAATGATAAGAGTATATTGGCTGTCTTAAAATTTTTCAATAAATAAAGATCATATATGTTCACATTCTTTTTATCATAAATGCCTAATAAATTATGAATATCCGAATACTATAATTATCATCTATTTATATGACCCTTCTAACATTAACTATCAGAAATAAACTTGGTATAAAAATATCAAGCTTCTCTTACAATGGTTACAATACAAATAGGTAACAGAATTTAATACCACATTCTATTTATATTTCAAAAAAAGCAAAATGTGTGAGTGCTTGAAGAGGCATGTATTTATAAAGAGTAAAATATTCTTATAAGTTGGAGCTAAGCCCTACATGCATTTAAATAGAATGTGCACTAATAGATTATGCATTTAGGGAGGGTTTTACTAGCTTGGTGGTAACAAAAAAGAAGAAATCAAAAATGTATTAGGGACCGTTTTAGGACTGGTCCGAATGGTCTCAGAACTAATTAACTATGTGATTATTGCAGAGACTGGTCTTTTCTGGGACCAATGCAACCCTATTAATAATTGAACTCTGCCCATAATTTATGTACTTGAAAGAACCTTAAATTATATAAATAAAAATTGTAATAAGAAATTAATTAATAAGTATATTGATTAATATTGTTCAATTGATTAAATATGTAATGTAATTGAAATATAATATGAAATCCTGGCATTGTATAACAAAGAATTTTGTAAACCAATTTCAACCCATTAAAGTTAATCAAAATTATAACTACAATAAAATTTATTCAAAACTTTAAGTGAATATATCTTGGTATCTATCTAATTAAATTTGACAAATTTTTTTTAGTTTAATTCTACAAATCTGTAAAATCAAAAGAAAAAATTTAGCTAGATAAATGCTAAAATATCTTTACTTAAAGTTTTGAATAAATTTAAAATATCTATCAAATAACAGCTACAGCAAATTTTTTAAAAATTTAAATAAAAGTATCTTAATATTTATCTAACCAAATTTGATAAACTTTTTTATATTTTATTTTTACAAAAATATATAATAAAACAAAAGGTTTTATCTAATTTGGTTAGATAGATACTAAGATATTATTACTCAAAGGTTTGAAAAAATTCAAAATGCTATTGTCACAATGAAAATAAATATGCGATATACTTAGTAAAGGGTATTAATTTAGAGCTTTAGATAGTTAAAAGTAAAGAAATATACAAAAAAAATAAAAAATAAAAACTTTATATATGTTTAATATATCTTTGAGCCTAAACAAACAAACCAAAATACATGTAATTCATGTTGTTATACCTATTACATGAATTTAATTTTTTTCTTAATTCAGATTAGTAGTTGTACTACTGATTATTTTTTTATTTGTTATTTCATATATTAAAAATTTTATTTCCTTATTTTGATTTTTAAATACATGTATTATTATTTTATAATTGGCAATTTCTGCACTATGAGCTCTTTATGAAAAATATCTGACATTGTAGATATAATCATCATCGACTATTGATTTGACCTCACATAAACTAATATATTAGGACCCCTGGCAGGAAAAGGAATTACTAAAACTTTATAAAACAGTTTTGTGAAGAGACCAATAACTTCAAAATTGGTCATTATACAATTTTTCTCATACCCTTATTTTAGAAGGTTATATGTACTAGTGCATAATCAGATATAAGAATCATCTGATTTATACATGTCTTGTTTGCATTCATTTAAAGATAAATAAAAAGTTTTAATTATTAGCACTTGTGTTTCTCCCAAAAAGAATAATGTATTTGGGGGTTAAATTAAAAATAAAGACAGAAAGAAATTCATTTGTCAATTAAAGAAATGTATATTTAAAGACTTGATATTTTCACTCAATAAAGATTTCTTGAGACTTTGCTCTCAAACACTTTTGACTTGACTTTTATAATTAAAAAGCTAATTGAAGTCTAGCATATTTTTATAAAGAAAAATATGCATTATCACTTACATGCTTCTTGTTAGCATTAAGTTAACTTAATATATTTTTATTAAATTTTAATTTTGTTCTTTTGACTTTGTTATTTAAAGTCATTGTGAATACACCTCTACAATTTTTTATCAATATACAGTCAGACCTCTCTATAGTCACACCTTCAGGATACAAAAAGTGATGATTATATAGAGATGTGACTAATATAGAGTGCACTCTATATAGTCACAGCTATATTAAAAATAATATTCTGTGACTATATAGAAGTTTTATTAAACAAATTTTTTCTAATTTTATAGTCACTTTATTAATATAATATTACCTTCGGCTCGGGTTTTTTAGCAACTATTATATCAAATTGGCTGAAATTTTTATTGAAGATAAATATGCTATAGGGCTAAAATATATTAAAATTTCAGCTAATTTAGATTAGTAGTTTCCGAGAAATTGCTCAAAAACTATAAGTAGTATTTTTTAAAAAATTGCTTATCATTTTTGAGCAATTTCTCAAGAACTACTAATCTAAATTGGCTAAAATTTTAATATATATTAGCCACATAACATATTTATCTTCAATTAAAATTTAACTAATTTGATATAGTGGTTATTGAGAAAATCAAAGCCAGAGGTTAATATAAAATTATATTTTTTTTGTATATTTTTAATATTTAGATTTATATTAACTCCTGGCTTTGGTTTTCTCAACAACTACTACATCAAATTAGCTGAAATTTTAACTTAAGGTAATTATGTTATGGAGCTAAAACATATTAAAATTTCAGCCAATTTGGATTAGTAGTTTCTGAGAAATTGCTTAAAAATGATAAGTAGTATTTTTTAAAAAATTGTTTATCGTTTTTGAGCAATTTCTCAAAAATTACTAATCCAAATAGCCACATAACATATTTACCCTCAGTTAATTTTCAGCTAATTTGGTGTGGTAGTTGTTGAGAAAACCAGAGCTAGAGGATAATATAAATCTAAATATTAAAAATATGCAAAAAAAATATAATTTTATATTAACCTCCGGCTCTAGTTTTCTCAATGACTACCAAACTAAATTAGCTGAAATTTTAACTGAAGGTAAATATGTTATGTGGCTAAAACATATTAAAATTTTAGTCAATTTGGATTAGTAGTTCTTGAGAAATTGCTCAAAAACTATAAGCAATTTTTTAAAAATACTACTTATCATTTTTGAGCAATTTCTTAGGAACTACTAATTCAAATTAGTTGAAATTTTAATATATTGTATCCTTAAAGCTTATCTATCTTCAGTAAAAATTTCAGCCAATTTGGTATAGTAGTTGCTGAGAAAACTAGAGCCAGAGATAATATTATATTAATAAAGTGACTATATAGAGAATATTTTTATATAGGTTTTATATAGTTGGTTTTTAAAAAATGTGATAGTGACTATAAGCCAATTGTGCTTATATAAAGGTATATTTATTGTAAAAAAGGTTGGTAAAAATAAAATTGTGATTATATTGATTTTGTGACTATAGAGGAGGTGACTATATAGAGTTCTGACTGTATTATGTGAATACATCTTTATAGCCACAATACAAATTTAAAAGTTCTAATTCACCATTATGCCTTAAATCAATCCTGTTTCAGATTGTCAACAATAAGACAATCAGGATTAATTTGGATATTAGCACATTCTAATTCCAACATGTATATCTGTTAATTATATTACACAGTTTTCTATCCATCTCTAATTAAACACCTGTTTATTTCATATTAGCAACAATATTCATTAACTCGTTGCTAACATATTAATTTTTCTATGTTGTAATTAAACACCTCTTTGCCTTTAAAACTAACATTTAGTTTACTATCCTGAACTATATTGGCACTATCCTATCTGATGCTTTTTCAACCTGATAGTAACAATATGATTCACGTGATAGTCAATTAGAATAAGAGACAGTTGGTAGTACATTTGGAATACTAAAGTAAAATAATAATTAATTTATTAAGAGAAAGATCAATTATATATTGTTAGGTAATACAAGTTAGTTTATTATTAAGTTATATATAAACAATTGAATAAAGTAAGTAAGTGATTTAAGAGACAATAATTGTATGATCAATATGTAATGTAATGATTAGGGTCAAGTTATATATATAAGAGTTGAAGCAGTAATAACAATAAAAAGTTAGTCAATTAATCATATAAAATCTTGTGAACAGTAATAACAAACTTTTTACTTACTTAAATAAATAATAAAATATCTTAATATTTGTTGAACACTTCCTATCTGAGTTTGGTTATTTTTTTGATAAAAGTCACTAATTAACTCACAATATAAAAACTTGGACAAATTGTTATTAATTTTGCTAATTGATTTAAAATTTTTGAAAGCAAAACAAACTTGGTTAAGATAATATATACATATACTATTTCACTATTTGTCTTATTCTTTTTATGTATCAAGCCAAATGTACTAGTATGTTCAAGGATTGACAAAGCCATTCTTCCATAATGAAGAAAAAGATGACATTGATAGCTTCTTTTTTGATTATAGTAGATATACTAAGTTTAAGAATTGGGATGATAAACTAAAATGCAGAATATTAGTCATGCATATGTATGATGGAACAAAAGTATAGGTTAGAGAGTTAATAAGAGGTTGTAATAATAGTTGTGATAAACTAGAAAAGGAATAGTGAAAGTGATAAACAATAAAGATGATGAAAAGTTAAAAATAAATCATTTAAGAAATATTAAACAAAATAAAAAGGAGATATACAAGTAGATTTGAAGCATATGCAAATGCAGTTAAAGATAAAATAAGGAAAGATGAGAAGCAAGACTAGTATATAGATGAAATAAGAAGAGTATATCAATTAAAGGTAGAGAATTTCTGTTTAGACAATTACACTAAAGCCAATGAAACTGCTTTTCAAATTAAAAGTCTCATAAAGATAGGGAACAAAATAATAATAAAAGTTTATTTATGTTGAGTGAAATATCCCATTAGAATGATTTAGATGCTGACAGTATTACTATCTCAATTGAAGCTCTTACTATAAATTGTGTCAAACAAGAAAACATCAATGATAACAAGATTAGTAAGATTAAATTAGATATTAAAGAATTGATAAAGGTGGTTAAAGACTTGCTAGCAGCACATATCTTCCAGACGATTCCAAAGCTCAAGTTTTACAAGACCTCAAAGGAATGTTGATAACTGTCAATGTTTTAATTACTAATAGGAGAGACATATTTTGTGTAATTGTCTAAATTGGATGATTCAAAATCTATCTGAACAAAGAAACAAGAAGAAAGACAAAAAAAATGAAGTTGTTAAAGTAAGAGATGCAAATATATGATATTTTGAAATAACTTTAAAGTTAAGTGATCCAGGAGTTAAATGTTTAAAAATTGAAGTGGTCAAAAAGGAACAAATAATTGATGTAAGAAATTAGGATCTCTAAAAAAGAAAGCATATTGATAAGGGCAAAATTGTAAAAGTGAGAATAGGAAGAAAAAGGAAAATTCAATAAAATTAAAAATAATACTACTGAATCACATGCTATAAGCTTTAGAGTTGACCCAAAAGCTTGATATTTTAAAGAAAATTGCTAAAATAGAGATAACTTTAATATTGGGACAATTGTATAAGTAGTTCATATATGCTAGATTTGAGATATTATAATTCTTGACAAGAAAAAAAAATGAATAATATTATGATGATAGGCACAAATGTAAGCATTATGTGTGCAGTTAGGAAGTAGATATAAACAATTTGGTGATGCAATAATAGATATAGTAATTATTAATGAATAAAAAATTGATACTCCAATCAATTCTGGATTCTGATTAAATTTAATGTATGAAAAATATACAAAATGAAAAGAACTAACATGGAGGCCAGTTAGTAAAAAAGGAAAAATAGCTGATAATAGCATTAGCAGCTTCTTAGATTATGTGTCAAATATAGAAGTTAAAACTAAGGAAATAATAGTTACTCAAGAAGTTTATGTTATAAAATCCACAAGTTTCAACATGTTACTTGAAATGCCATGGATTGCAGTGGCAAAGTGTAATTTATAATGGAAAAATAATTAGTATTGGTGTTCAATTGCTTCCAAGTATAAGAAAGTATTATTTGTTGCTACAACTGTATCTGAGAGTTGGATGAGCCATTGGAGTAATGAGGAAAATGAATTCAGAGATAACGATAATAAAGAGAAAGAAATCAGTATGTTATTGATGCGAAGAGTTCAAGTAGAAAAATCTAAGATAGAAAAAATAAATGTTGAGTATAAAGAAGCAATAGTTATAGCTAATTATAGTAATCAATTAATTATAAAAAAATTGCATTCAATTTTCAATAATTAACTTTAAGAAAATAAACATTATGGCCAAGTTATTTATTAGAGTTGTGACCAAGAAAATAAGAAAGAAGTTGTTAATACAGGTGGCCAGAGTTAGTTATATATCTTACAATGGAGAACAGTAACAAATTAAATATTAATAACAAAATTCCAAAAGTAAGCAAGGAGTATTTAATAGGTTAGTTAATGAATAAAAGTGTCCGTATCATTTTCCCAACAATCACTTCCCTGACATACATCTCCTCGACAATTATTTCCCTGACAATCCTTTTCCTGACACACTTATTTCCTAGGTATATCATTTTCCTGACAAGATTATTTCCTGACACATTATTTCCCCGACAAGATTATTTCTCTGACAAGTTTATTTTCCCAACATTCACTTTCCTGACAAAATTATCTTCCTAACATATTAATTACCCCAACAATCACTTCCCTGACAATTTATTTCCTCTTTCCTGATAAAATTACTTCTCTGACAAATTCAATTACCGATATGATCAATTACACAATCAATTATTCAAAACAATTAATACCCGACACAACAATTACCTGACACAATTACAACTGCTTTCAAGTTTTTATAAATTCTGGGACACTCTAAAAAATTTACCAAAATATATTTGGCTGAATTCGATAAGTTATTTATCTAGATATTACACAGCATTACAAATCAATAAATCATTGTAGATTTTTAATTTGCCAAATATGATACTTTCAAAACATATTCATTGAAAAGGAATTTAAATGTTTTTAAATTTGTAAAAGAAATCCAAAAAAAACAAAATTGAGTTCAACTCGATATATCAGCTATTTTATAAGGAGCACCAAGACCTTCCCAAGGAAGACTAAATAATAGATGCGAATTATGAATTAGAACAGTCTTAAATGATCATGATAATAGATTATTAATGAGCTTTCTTGAAGAGATTGCTCACAATCTTTCATTTTAGATTATATTTATTATTATTATAGTTTTCTAATATTATCATATATACATTATGAAATTTTTTATATGCTTATTTTATAATACTTCAATGTCTACTATTATTATTATTACTTTATTTTTATGTAAATCATTACTTTGTTTCAGCACTCTAAAGTACCACTGAACTATTGTATATAAATAATTACACTGTTAAGTAACAGAGTATATAAAAAATTATACTATAAAGTAACAAAGTATGAAAAAATTATACTGTAAAGTAATATAGTTCACAAAATACTTAATAAAATTTTATATAGTAATTCTATTTAATACAATTGTTAAATTAATGATAAGTACTGCTAAGAAATATTCTGTTAACTGGTATTTAATTATATTTGTATCAGACATAATCATTAATAAATTATGTCCAGTATGAGATATAATTAAAAGCCCGATAACATGTTAAAATTTTTATCGCATAATGTATATAATTACAAATAAATTTTTATCATTTAAGTAAATGAATACTTAGTGCCATTTGTATTACTTTTTTAAAAAAACATCCATGGATAAATCAGATTCTTCATCTTTAAGTGATTTCGATTTAAGCTTTATAACAAATAGATCTTCATATAACTTAAAATCAGAATCATCCAATCTTTTAGCATCTCTTTATAACGATTTTATAAATTTGACAACTGATTCAATTGAAGATATAAGTTCAAAAGTTATCTCTTCAGATACTATGAACTTATCAAATATTTCAACTAATACTACTAGTTCAACAATTATTTCAAATAAAGATTTTTCTGACAATGAGATTCCAGAAATAGAAATTGTTAATATTAATATTAGTTATTTTCTTTATAGTATTAAAGAAATATAATTTTTTATTTAATTATATTATTTATATATTCTTAGATTGAATATCAAGATGATGAATTTGATGATATCTCTGAAATTTCATATAACTATTTTACGAAAAAATTGCATGTTAGTAAAGTTAGATATTCTCCAATTTCAGTTGAATATCATCCAACTTCTATAGAGGGTATAGCAACTGTTTATAATATTTCAGAATAGGATGATTTTAATTTGGCATTTTCTGATGTAAGTTATTAATTTTCAAAAGATACTATAATTATAAAGCTTATTAATTCTAATTTTAATTATATAGATTCAATATAATACTGGCAAAGGTGGTGGGAAAAAAGTTGTTTAATGTGAATTTTTAGGATGTAAAGTTTACAAGTCTGTTAGAATTTGTACTGGAGCAAAGATATGTGAATTTGTATCAGATAAATTAAAAAATATAACATATACAGAAGTAAATGAAGATATAGATTTTTATAAAGCAAAAACACATGCGTAAGAATTTAATATTATTAAAATAAATTTTAACTATAATTAATTTATTACTAATATATTTTATAATTTATTAATAAAAAAAATATTTAGTATTTATTAATATCCAATGTCCATATAATTCTAATACTTGTATTGGAAAACCTCAAGTTTGTCGCTATGGAAAAAAATCAGATGATAATTTACCATCTTACTTTATTGGTTGTTTTGCTTGGCAACCTGGACAAAGACATATACATAGCAAATTAAATAATGATGAAATTAATATTGAAATGCTTGGAAAGTTATTTAAAGGGACATTAGTAAGTAATAATGATATTTTGTTATTAATTATTAAAATTAAAATTAATGTTTTTTTAGATTAATTTAGATAAACCTATACAACATTGTCATACAATTTTGTCTACTAATACTAGAAAAAAAGAATGTCATATGTAGTTTAATTTTATTTATAAAATTTTAAATTATATACTATAAATTTAATATTAATAAATAATATTATAATAATTTATAGCTTATTTTCATCTTACAGAAGAAGGTCTTAAGTGAAAAGAAAAAATTATTAAATTGAATTGTAATGTTCAATTTATTAAATTAGTTTCAATAGATATTATTAAAACACCTTTTGTAGTTTTAATATGTAAAGGTGTTCATACACATCCTCCCTCTCCTCCAGTTAATATTCCTTCTGAAATTAAAGTAAATTTAGAGCACATGATTAAAGAAGCTACACAAACATTTGAAAGAGTTACATCAAAAAAATTAATATCTAGCAATTTATTAAAAGCTTATTTTGGTAAAGAACTCTTTACTGAAATTCATTCCTTATTAAATAATTTGGAAAAGCTAAGGTATCTTGTTAACAAGATACAACAAAAACAATTTCCAAATGGGCAAGGTTTATTGGGTATTGTTACAGAATTCCAAAATAGAAATAGAGAATTTGATGGATATTTGCAAGAAATTGGTAATTTATAAATTATTTTAAATTTTATATATTTATAAATTATTAATTTATTATTAATTTATAGGGATATTTGATGATGGAAAATTTATAATTGTTTGTATGAATAAAGAACAAGCAATTGCTTGAAAAAATACTGATAACTATCAAATAGATATGGCATTTAAACGAATACATGAAGAAGTAAATAAATTTGAGATTAATAATTATAGTGAAGATTATAATCAGAGTAAATAATTTTACATTTTTATTTTAAATTATTTATTAAAGTTTACTAAAGCTAATTAATTATAAAAAATTTTAGATATTACATTTGCTCGTGTTTATACTAATGCTGCATTAGCTAAAGCATATTGTAAAATTTTTACAAGTTTATGGCATCATATTAATTTATTAACAAATGAACAGCCATCTTTTAATTATTTACATAATAAAGGGTGAAAGTGTATAATTGGAGACTTGGATCAAGGGCAAGCAAAGGGTTAGCTTTAGCTAATATTGAATCAAAATATTCCTGAAATGAACATTTAACTTATATTTTTAAAAGTTGCAAGATATATTTTTATCTGTAATTTATTTATTTATTATTTATTTATTTATTATTTATTTATTATTTATTTATAATTATTTATTAACTATAAAATTAATTAATAAATATAATAGAAATGTTAATAATAGTGGACAAAGCAAAGATATTAAAAAGAAAATAATTGAAGTTTCTACTGCTAATTCAAAATCAAAAATTGAAGAAATTTTTTCACATCTAAAATTAGCTTCAAATGAAAGTTTAAAAGGTAATTATTTAATTAATTAAATTTAAATTTAAAAAAATTAATATTTTTAATTTATAGAATGGGTTGAATTTTATTCGAATGATTGGGTCCTTGCTTCTTTAAACCCAGTATTTTCTAAAATCCCAATTGATATATGGTATTCAACTTCACATGATACAAATATATCTGAAAGCAGTCATGCAAGAGTTAATAGATATGGAATTAATTTAAATCTTTATGTAGCAATTCAAAAGTATTTATGTTTTTTATTAGTTATTGTTTCATTTGGTTTATTTTATAATTTATTAATAATTTTTTAGAGGTTTTTTAGAAGATAAATGAACATTTCATTCAATTAAAATACATCAAGTTTCAGGAATTTCTTGCTCTAACCATGATTGGGGTATTGTATCAAGAACAATTCATTCAGTAAATCAACAAAGTAAGTATTAATTTAAATTTAATATTGCATTAATTAACTATTTAATAAATTTTAAATATTAATTTTAATTAATTTAGTTAACAAAAAATGAGGATCTAATTCAAAATCAAAATCAGCAAAAAAACAAAAAATGGTTATAAAACAAATTAATACTCAAGAAAGTGTTTATACTAATAATTTGGAAGATATAGAAATAAGTGAAAGAAGACTTGCACTTAAAGAAAAGGAAATTACATTAAAAGAACGTGAAGCAGAGTTAGAATTAAAAAAATTATGGATTGAGAAAATGAAAAGGGAGTTTAGCAAATAAAGTTGCATTGATAATGGTGGATACAATGTTACTGCATAATGAAATAGTTAAAATACAGTAGACAAATTATAAAAAATTATGAATTCTGAGAAGAATAATATAGACTAGAATTTATAGTTAAAAAGCAAATTATCTTGTAGAAAAATAATAACCGATGAACATTAAAATAAAATTAGCACTATTTAATATCTGCATTATAAAAAAATTTTAAAATGTTTATTTGACGATGCTTTAGATATAATACTTTATTTAGACATTATAGTACTTTATTCGACTATACTCTAAATATTATAGTACTTTAGTCGACTATACTCTAAATATTATAGTACTTTAGTCGACTATACTCTAGATATTATAATCCTTTATTCGACTATACTCTAGATATTATAGTACTTTAGAGTACTTAAAAATACTGTACTCTAAATATTATAGTACTTTAGTCGACTATACTCTAGATATTATAATCCTTTATTCGACTATACTCTAGATATTATAGTACTTTAGAGTACTTAAAAATACTGTAAAGTACCTATAGGGCACGCTATAAAAATTGTCCGGCCTTTACTTTTCTAGAATTGGATCCTGGTACTCTATACTGTTTAATCGAAAATGACCCTACCTGAATCACTTATGTTAACAAAATAGGCCGTAACTAGATTTTTCGCAGCCGAACACGATGCCAGTCATGAGGGAATCGATACAAAACTAACATAATATACCTAAATCGCTTATGTTATCACAATAGTAGCAAAATGATTAATAAAAACGAATCAACATGGGATAGAGATAAAAAAGAATGACTATAAGCCATTCATCCATTTCAAAAATCTGCTGAGATGGAAAATGCTGCTGCTATAAATAAACTTGCATATTGTTATCAACATGGAATAGGGATCGAAAAAAGATGAACGTAAGGCATTCATTTTCAACAACTTACCAAAATAGTAAATGTTGATGGGATATAAGTACTAGTTATTGTTATCAAAATGGAATAGGTGGTGAAAATTATAACATATATCATTCATTTATTGCTTGGTTTTCGTCTTTGCTCTTTAGTAAGCGAAAAAAAGGACGATGTTAAAGTCGGAACTGCGCCTAAAATATGATCGGCAAATTTTTCAAAATTTTGTAAATTTTGTAACTTTCTTGGATTTACCGTACCATTCCGAAATTAAGCACCCTTTTTTTGTTATAAGGGATGCTTATTTTCGGATATAATTTCAAAAATTAATAATACGGGTTTTGTGCCAAGTAAACCTTTCTACTATTTCTAAGTAAAGATATTCTACAGGTCAAGACGATTCTAACGATGGTAAAATCGCCAAAATTGAACCAGTAGAACTTTAGTAATTGCTCTTCAAATTTCAGTCGACGTTTGTTTACATTTGCTTACATAATCTGTAGTCATGTAAGTAAATGTTGCCTGAACTTTAAAAAGTGATTGTAAAAATTCTACTGAATCGATTTTGATAATTTTACCACCATTAGAATTGTCTTGACCTGGAGAATATCTTTACTTAGAAACAGATAGTAGACTTGTTTAGTAAAAAATCCGATACGATTATACTTAGGGGGTGCTTATTTTCGGATATTAATTTCGGGGGGTGCTTAATTTCGGAATGGTACGGTAATCGATTTATTAGATTTAGTCGATTTGTTTTAGTTACTTTATTTAGATTAGTTATTCGATTTCTTTTATTTATTCAATTTTTAGTATGTATTTGAAAAATATATAAGGCCTAATAGTTCGCTTTGAATAAAGTCGATTAACGTTTTGTGCATATAATTGATAAAAGCTTGTTCTCCTAATTCCCCGATAAACTATCTTATAGTTCCGTGATTCCGAATTAAAGCTTCGTGACGTTGGCCCTAATAACTTCTTTCGTACCTTCCACATTTAGGGTTCGATAGAGTTTAGCGGTATAGTGTGGTGATTTGAATTCTGCCCCTCACAACGAACGAATAGTTTAAAATGCTAAATATAGTAGGAAAAATTTTGTCCCTGTGCAGAATTAAGAGTAAATCTCTAAATTTTCCGATTTGTTAACTTTTACACTCGAGTTTTTTGCCGTCCAGATCATTTGATCTCGCAATATCGTAGTTTGTGTCGACAATGATCCTTTAACGCATTTGATTGGTTGTACAAAACGTGATCAAAATGTTAAGACCAATATATCTGAGTCAAGAACGTCATCACAATTCAATTTCATTAATATAACAGTAAAATTAAATGGTGTTCGTAACATCTGCGCACGAGCTTTTCTCGTGATCTATTCTATTGCGGTGTAAACCGGAAACGTGACCTGAAGCAGGCAAGTGCTCCGTGGTCTCGAGTATTTCTAAATTTAGGCTTTTTGCCTATATTTCATCGAAAACCCAGATCTAGGATAATGGGCAAATCTAGACAATAAGGATAATTTCAGCAATATGGTGGATATTAACAATGCTGGAATTCTGGCTGTAAGACCAATTTGAGGTTTATTGAGGATTCCATTAATATAGATAATTCCAGCGAATGTAAATAGTTGAATTTACAACTATAAATAAAGGTCATTTTTGGCCCTTCGGGAAGAATAACTCCCGTCTTTGCTTTATTAAAACTTTCATATTTTAATACAAGTACCCCAAATAAAACATATCCATCTCTAAACTTTCGTACATAATAAGCTTATACATTCACTGAGTTGCTACTAACTTGGAAGTTCTCGCTTTACATAATAATAAAATACCCAAGTCACTTATTGTATAAACCACATTTGTTCATTGATCGTTCGCCAAATCTAACACACCTTTTTCGATCCCACTTAACCTAATCTTTGGTTATACGACGCTACTTCCGTTCTAGCGACAGACTTGCCAATTTTAGGACCGTCAGTGGCATACATAATTAATTAGATTTTAAAAACTCCTAATTAAATTACAGTAATTAAAAGTAAGCATCAAATACAACTATACGTATAAGTGCAATTACAAATGCTATAACAATTATAGTTATAACATAATTTTTTGGCATAAATATTGGTGATCCGATGCAAATTTGCATACCTATTCAGTGGAATTTTAGTATTTTCGTAATACATAGTGACCACTGGATTAAAAAGTGGCTAAGCAAGAAGACCACTACTATATGTACAATTTTTCGAAAGAAGAATTAATACCGATTAAAGTTAACCGAAATCATAGCTAATGTCAGCTAACTTTGTCAGTATCCTTTCAGAAAAATAGCTTTCAGGAGCTCGAAGCTAGAAGCAATCTAGTTAGGCTCAGAAGTCAACCATTAATCCTAATTGAGCGGGCTCATAAAATCGTGAGCGTTAATCTGCCAAATTTGCATTTGCCGTCATATCTATCATCTAAAAAAGTCAATCAAATGCTTCACGGTTTTAAAAGAAATGTATATAGTCTACTCTCTTGGTTATGGTTATGAAGATACCTTGCTCCACGATAATTGAAAAGAATAAAAAAAACTATTTAAAATGGGGAATATGTTAAAAATATTAAGAAACATTGTTAACCCACTATAGATTTAAACAACCGATTTCTAGATTTTTCAATTTCAATAATTTTAGATTATTTGATAATTGCAATGTTTCTTAGCGGTCGTAGTTTATGTTGATCTAACCAATGAAGTCAAACCGTTAAGATTAGGGTTTGGTTACGGAAAATCCTCACATGGGGCACGGCATAACCCTATGAAATAATTAGTAAAACATCACATGCAATTAGTAATTTATACGTGATGATTTAGCATCACGACCTCATGCCCCGTGCCCCTAGTTAAGACAAATATATCATTGAGCAAGTCATGATCAAGGATGTCATCACACATATTTGGAAATACTTTAAGAAAAGCTTTTAATAAATATTACTGTATATTGATTGTTGCAAGTCCAATATACGGAGTTCGAACTTCGAGCTTATTCCATATTTGTGAAATGCCTTTTTTGGACATGTCATATCGATATTGAAAAATGATTTCTTTGAAATTTACGTGGAAATTTTTGATTAAATAAAGCGTATTGGGCAATTTACGGAGTTCGGACTTGGAATTTATTCATAATTTCTGTACGTATTTGGGAAATGCCTTTGGGGACATGCCCAAATTATGGAAGCACTGTGACACAGAAGACTAGTTCTATTCACGTATTACTGTGACGCAGAAGACTGGTTCTATTCACGCATTACTGTGACACAGAAGACTAGTCCTATTCGCGCATTACTGTGACGCGGAAGACTAGTTCTAATCACGCATTTTTTGTTTAACAATGCGAAATCTTTAAATAATAAGCTTTGAAAAAGGATTGAACAAAATTGAATACTCTTGATAATTCACAAAAAACTGCATTTTTCAATAATTCGTTACTAGAATTTACAAATTTTTTGTGTACGAACTGACGTATTTAATATATCAAATACTTTTAAAATTTTTATACCGTATGTTAAAATAAGTTTAATTTAAAAAATGAGTTTCTACAACGATAAATATAACATCTTTATCAATAATGTGCATGAAAATGAAATTATACTTGGGTTTTCTTACTTAAATTTGGGTCTTTATGTTGATTCTCTTGAACAATTTGATTGTGGTTTAGAAATCGATTCGAATAATTTAACCGCTTTAATCCTTCGTGGAATAACTTATTTTAATCTAGGAAAATATGACAATGCACTTTCAGATGCAGATAGAGCATTAGAAATCATGCCTACGAATATGAGTTCATTTATTCTACGTGGTGAGACGAACTTTATGTTAGGAAAATACTATGAAGCTCTTATAAATTTCGATAAAGCATTAGAGATTAATCCGAATAATGCATATGTACTAGTTCTTCATGGAGAAATTTACTCAAAATATCACCTATTTAACGAAGCATTCGTACATTTTAATAAAGCATCAGAGGTCGATCCAAATAATATAGATATTTTATGTGTTGATGCAACTAATGACGCTTTGCAAGAATACGTAAACATGTTATTGTTTTACGGGGAAACACATTATTTGTTAGAGAAATATGATGAGGCTCTTTTAAATTTTTATAAGGTATTAGAAACTGATCCTAATAATTTAACTGCATTATATTTGCGTGGAAAAGTATATTATTCAATAGGACGATATGGAAAGGCATTCTTGAATTTAAACAAAGCATTGGAAATCAATCCGCATGATATTGACACACTGCTTTATCGTGGGGAAGTTTATTTTAAACATGGTCATTATGACAAAGCATTTTCAGATCTTGAAAAAGCATTAGAGCAATACGGCAAAGTTTTAAATAACCCTGAAAAGTCATTAGAAATCAAATCAAATTATGCTAATGCATTGATTCTTCAAGCAAAAATTTGCTTTAATCTCGAGAAATACGAAGACACAATCCGATTGTTAAATAAGGCTTTGGAAATTGACCACGGAGCAAGATTATATTAACACTTCGTGGAAGTGTTTATTTTTACTTGGATAAATATAAAAATGCTATCAAAGATTTTAATGGAGTTTTGAAAACAGATCAGAATAATGTTAAAGTGATTTTTTTACGCGGAAAAGCATTTTACTGTCTTGGTCATTTTCATGAAGCATTTATGGATTTTCATGAAGCATTAAAGATTGAACCAAATAATATAGATATGTTAATCCTCCGTGGAGAAGCTTATTTAACCATGGATCATTATTATAATGCGCACTTAGACTTTGACAAAGCAATAGGAATTTCGCCAAAAAATGTGACAGCATTAATGTTTCAAAGCAAAAGTTTTTTGGCGCTAGAATTATATGAAGATTCATTGTCTTGTTTGAATAAAGCACTAGAAATTGAACCAAATAATTCGTCTGCATTGTTCTGTCGTGGTGAAATTCATTTTAAACTAGAACAATACGTTAATGTTCTTTCTGATTTAAGTAAAGCAGTGGAAATTAAACCCAATTTTGTGCCTGCATTAGTTTTTCGTGGTACAGTTTATTATAGTCTAAAAAAATATAATAAAGCTCTTGAAGATTTTAGCAAAGCTTTTGAAATTGAACCTAGTAATGCAACTACGTTAAAACATTTAATAGATGCTTTTAATGAGTTTGACTTTACGGCATTGAAAAGCTCTGTAATGAAAAAATTGAATTAACTAATGTAACTGCGATTATACTTTGTGGAGAAGGATATTTTATACGCGGACAATTCGCTTATGCTCTTTTGTATTTTGAAAAGGCTTTAAAAATTTGTCCAAATAATCAAACAGCATTGATTCTTAGTGGAAAGGCTTGCTTCTTTTTAAGAAAATACGAAAAGGCAATTAGATATTTAAACAAAGTATTGAATGTTGAGCCAGATAATGATGTTGCACTATTCTATCAAAGTGAAGCAAATTTTAAACTAGGACAACACGAAAATGATCGCTTAAATAGAAATTTATTAGAAATTGAGTTTAATAATGCATTTTCAGTATTATATAATAATGATTCCAATTTTAAACTTCATCAATTCAATAAAGCTATTTTAGATCTTGATATTGCAATAAAATTTAAACCAGAAGATATGGAAAAGTTAGTTCTCCGTGGGAAGGCTTATTATTTTCTAAAGAAATACGACGAGGCCCTTTTGAATTTTATCAAAGCACTAGAATTTGAAACGAATAATATATTTACATTATTTTATATTCATGAAGCTTATAATAAGCTATTATTACAGGAAAAAAATTTATCTTTTATTGATTCTGTTCTAAAAATAGATAGATATATACTCTATCATCAAAAATACAACAAAAAGGTAAATGCTTATGGTAATTATGTTCTTGGAATTTTTTATCAAACTGGTACTAGAGTTAAAAAAGATGAGCATAAAGCATTTATTCATTATCAAAGGTCTGCAGAGATGGAAAATGCTAGTGGGGTTAATAGTCTTGGAAATTGTTACCATTATGGAATTGGAGTTGAAAGGGATGAGTGTAAGGCATTCATTTATTACCAAAAATCTGCAGAGATGGGATATATTAAAGGAACATATAATGTTGGATATTGTTATCAAAATGAAATCGGGGTTAAAAAGGATGAAAATAAAGCATTAATTTACTATCAAAATTCTGCAGAAATGGGGGACGCTGAAGGAATATTCGCACTTGGCGGCTGTTATAGAAATGGAATTGGTGCCGAAGCGGATGAACATAAGGCATTAATTTATTATCAGAAATCTGCTGACATGGGTGATGCTGGTGGAATACTCGCGCTTGGCGACTGTTATAGAAATGGAATTGGTGTTGAAGTGGATGAACATAAGGCGTTCATTTATTATCAAAAATCTGCTGACGTGGGTGATGCTTATGGAACATATAATGTTGGTTATTGTTATGAAAATGGTATCGGTGTTGAAAAGGATAAAATAATGGCATTTATCTATTATTGGAGAGCCGCTAACATGGGTCACGTTAGTGGAATGTTTGTAAACGGTCATTGTTATCAAAATGGAATTGGTATTGATAAAAATGAATGCAAGGCAATAGAATATTATCAAAAAGCTGCCGATTTAGGAGAGACTATCGGAATATTTTGTGCTAATAATTATTATAATGTAAAAATTGAAATGAATAAGAATATTTTTGAACGTTGGCAGAAAGCTGCTAATATGGGTTATGCTGAAGCAGTGTTCGTGGTTTGTCAATGTTATCTCAAGGGAATCGTTGTTGAAAAGGATGAATGTAAGGCATTTATACATTGTCAAAAATCAGCAGAGATGGGATACGCTATTGGAATATATTCACTTGCCGAATGTTATCTTAATGAAATTGGTGTTGAAAAAGATGAACGTAAGGCATTTGTTTATTATCAAAAATCAGCAGAAATGGGATACGTTAGTGGAATATATCATGTTGGATACTGTTATCATGATGGAATTGGAGTTGAAAAGGATGAGCATAAGGCATTCGCTTATTATCAAAAGTCAGCAGATATGGGAGATGTTAATGGAATATATAATGTTGGATATTGTTATAAAAATGGAATTGGAGTTGAAAAGGATGAGCGTAAGGCATTCGCTTATTATCAAAAATCAGCAGAGATGGGAAACGCTGATGGAGCATATAATGTTGGATATCTTTATCGCAATGGTATTGGAGTTGAAAAGGATGAACATAAGGCATTCATTTATTATCAAAAATCTGCAGAGATGGGTCATGCTATGGGAACATTTAATGTTGGATATTTTTATAAAAATGGAATTGGAGTTGTAAAGGATGAACATAAGGCATTCATTTATTATCAAAAATCTGCAGAAATGGGCGTTGCTAAAGGAATCTTTAGTGTTGGATACTGTTATAAAAATGGAGTTGGAGTTGAAAAAACGAAAATAAGGCATTTAAATATTATCAAAAATTTTGTGACATGGATCATTCTGGCGTATTTTGGATTGGCCCAATGTTATCAAAATGGGATTGGAGTTGAAAGGGATGAACATGAGGCATTTATTTGTTATCAAAAATATGCTGACATGGGTTATTCTGATGGATTTTGGTTAGTTGGAAATTGTTATAAAAATGGAATTGGAGTTAAAAAGGATGAACATAAGGCATTCGCTTATTATCAAAAATCAGCAGAGATGGGTTGCGCTTATGGAATAGCTGCACTTAGTGACTGTTATTATAAAGGATTTGGAATTGAAAAAGATGAACATAAGGCATTTATTTATTGTCAAAAATCTGCCAAGATGGGAAACTCCATTGGAATATTTGGTCTTGGCAAATGCTATGAAAAAGGGATTGGAATTGAAAAGGATGAACATAGTGCATTCTTTTATTATCGAAAATCTGCAGAGATGGGAGATATTTTTGGAATATATAGTATTGGACACTGTTATCAAGATGGAATTTGAGTTGAAAAGAATGAATATAAGGCATTCATACATTATCAAAAATCTGCAGAGATGGGTCATGCAGCCGGAATATGTGACGTTGGATATTGTTATCAACATGGAATTGGAGTTGAAAAGGATGAAAATAAGGCATTCATTTATTATCAAAAATCTGCAAAGATGGGGTTTGCTAAGGGAACATTTAATGTTGGAGATTGTTATTACAATGAATTGGTGTTGAAAAGGATGAACATAAAGCGTCCATTTGTCATCAAAAGTCAGCTGAAATTGGTGATTCTGATGGAATGCTTTATGCTGGGCTTAAGCACCTTTATGGTTTTGGCTACATTGAAAAGGATGAGAAAAAAGCATTTGAATGGTTCTATAAATATGCTGAAAGTGGAAATGCCGATGGACGAATGAACGTAGGACTTTGCTATCGGGATGGTATTGGAGTTTCTCAAAACCAAGAAAAGGCCATTGAATACCTACAGGAGCAAATAACTTACAGAGATGAACAGGTTTATAAATCTGAAAATCCTGATATTGATAATTTTCTAGAAAATGTAGATAGAAATAAATATTCACTATCATGGATTCCATTCGATAAGTTAGAAATTCTTGGAACAATTGGAGAAGGTGGTTTTGCAAAGGTATTTCTAGCCATATGGAAACCAGAAACAAATTCAAAAAAGTTTGTCGCACTTAAATTATTTTATGGATCTCAAAATGATTGCACTGAACTTTTAAAGGAGGTATGTATAAAATATTCTGCATTTATACACGTACTAATTAAATTTCTTGACTAATATAATCATATTACGCATAGCTAGAGAAATATTACCAAATTGGATATGAAACCCCTACATTTTTACGATGTTATGGGATATCAAAAGATGTTAAAACAAGCGACTATATGTTGGTAATGCAACATGCACTTAGAGGCTCTTTACGCAAAAACCTTCCAATTATTTCGCTAATGAAATGGAAAGAGAAATTAAACATATTATCAGATATTGCTCGTGAACTTGACTTAATTCATTCACATAAAATTATACATCGAGATTTGCATAGCGGAAATATACTGCAAAACGAGTTAAAAACTGCATATATTGGTGATTTAGGGCTTTCTGAACCCGTCGATAAAGCGTTAAATGTCTACGGAGTTCTTCCATATGTAGCGCCTGAAGTTATGCATAATAGATCGTACACTTTGGAATCTGATGTTTATTCTTTTGGTATTATTATGTGGGAAATATCTTCTGGTATGTTGGCATTTTCAGACGAAAAGCATGATGAGCAATTTTTACTCAAAATTCTTGACGGAACAAGACCAATTATCGTCGAAAACACAGCAAAATGCTATACAAATCTTATGAAAAGATGCTAGGATAATGACCCTAGAAATCGCCCGTCAGCGCATGAAATTCTTGAAATTATTCAATCATGGAAGAATAATGAAACTTTATTAGAATTTGATGAGAATATAAATATAAAAATAGAAACTTTAATCAACATGATCAATATAATTACATGGGTTGAGACTTGGAAATCTTCTCCAAATAATCTATTTTGCAAATCTACAGATTCCAATAAAGTTATCAATAAAGATACTTTATTCGATTTTCTTAGAATAGCCGCGGAGATAAGACTTTCTTTAAATAATATTATTAACGAATTTGAAGAACCTAATACAACTATAAAAATAGAAACTTTAATAAATGTGCTTAAAGAATTAGATCCTATATTACCTTCCTTAAAAAAACGTTTTGGAAATTCCAGGGATTCTAAGACTATTATAATAGAGATATTTTAACTTACATGATTCGAGAATTAGTATCTACAAAATCTTCTTTAATTAATGTTCTTAATAAATTTGAAAAGTCTAACGCAACTATAGAACTAGAATTGTCATTAGATATGCTCGAAGTGCTAGGCACTCAACTTTCTTCTTTGAATAGTATTTTAAGCTATATTGGAGATTATTATTTAAGTAGAGATCCTTTAAACAATTTGCTTAGAGAATTAGAGACTATAAAACGTTCTTTAAATAATATTTTTACTAAATTTGAAGAGCCTGAAACTATAACATTGGGCACTTCGAAAACTATATCAACTATAATTGATGCTACAACTAATATATTGAATAATTTGTATAGCGGACCTGGGGATCCCAATGATATTATCAATAGAGATAGTCTAATTAATTTCATAAGCAATATAACATTTTATCCTAATATATCTGTTAAATTTAATGAATCGATAGCCAAATATTCCGAATCAATCTCTAATGGCTTAAAATTTGAAAACATAGATAAATTAAATACCGAAAATCTTTTTGAAATAGTAAATATTATGGAATGCTTTGGTAGTATAGTTAATCAGAAATAAAAATAAAATAGAAATTTTTAACTACTAAGTTAAAAAGAATTTTTTTTTTAAATAATAAAAGTTAAGGGTATAAACCCAAATATATGAATACTGTCAAGAGAAATGAGTGAATTTTAGGGTTTATCATTTATTATCTATCAGATTCAGCTCGTAAAAAATCTGATTAGTCAGTGGTTTATCGTTTCAATTTATACGTAGTGATGTGGATCTTTCATGTTTATGGAGATTTGCTTACGAAGATTCGTGTCATATTTATATAGTTCAAGATTTTATTGTGCGACTAGATTTTATTTTCATAATGAAAAGGACAGTATGAAAATAGCTCACTATCCAAATTCCACACTGCATATGACATTCATAGTAATAAAAATTCTATACAAAGCTAATGTAAATAACAATTTCATATACAGTAATATCTAATAAGATTCAATGATTGGTTATTATATATCAACGAAACTCTTAAATCATTTTACTCGCTACAGCAGTCTATATACAGTCGACCCTCTCAAAACCGATCCTGTCAAAATCGATAAAAAATTATCGTTCCAGTTATATAAATATGTTTTCAAATCCGATAACCTCCCTTATCCGACATGTCTTATGTGAACACCGAACGATTTTTGTGTAAGTTATTCGGCCACCCCCTAATACAAATTCACAAATTTTCATCACCTCTTACAGAGGTGATGAAAATATGTGTATTTGTATTAGGGGGTGGACGAATAACTTACACAAAAATCGTTCAATGTTTACGTCGACATGTCGGATAACTTAGTTATCAGTCGAGTTCTAGTGATTGATGCCTGATTTTTCATAGTAAATGTCCTAGTGAATAATCAGTTATCAATCAAAACACGACGGATAACTAGTACAAACCTGATACAAAACATGTCCACCATGCATACCGATTTTGAGAGGGTCGACTGTATTATCTATATTTTCAGACTACTGAATATCGATATATCTAAAATTATTGCAGTTATGGCATATTAATTTAGAGTTCTTGTTTTACGGTGTCAGACCCGAAACCGGCGAGTCTGTCGCTAAACCGAAATGGGGGTCCGTGTAACCAAACCTTAGGTTACGTAGGGTCGAAAGAGGCGTGTTAGATTTAGTCGAGTGGTATAGTTTTAGTTGGGACAGAACCACAGTTTAACACTGTTGAGGCAGGGTTCGTAACGAAGGTGTATCTTTATATCTTAAA